TAGACAAACACACACACACACACACATTTCGCACCCTGCCACACACACACATATACAAGTCTGTCGGGAGCACTGGAGAACTGTCAGGACATCACACACACAGGAACGACAATTACTGTGGGCCAGTATGAAATTTCGCTGTCAGCTCCGAAGGCACAAGCCGCTTTACTTCTTAATTTTTTTGCCAGTTGCTTTCCATTTTCAGCTTTTGTGAAAAACTTATAAATACGGGTACGCACACTTGCATGCGTTTCATGGGTTTTCCCTTTTTAAAACTAAATGGGCGAAATTTAAAATGGCAGATTGCTTGTGAGTAAATTTTGAAAATATTTTATTATATAAAGAAACGAGCTCTGCTGAACTAGGTTTTCTATGGTAATAAAATATATTTATTTTTTGTAAAGTATGAAGGGTATTTGCCAGTACTGCATAAGTTGCTTCCCTACTACCGGAAAAGAAAACCAAATAAAATATGTGAGCAATTTATGAATATTAAAAACATATATTTCGAACGACGAGAGTCATGTGGCAAGGAGGTCCTTCAAAGATTTTCCTTGCGCTGGAATTTATCCTCCCGTATTTCCATTTGCGTCCGTATTTCTTTTTCCGGCATGCCGAGCTTGGCCATGGCCAACATTTCCAACTTTTGTCAGTGCCATAGCTTGCCACGTTGCATGGCAGACATCGTCCTGCCGCCAAAATTTAATGCGCCGCGGATTCGGAACTCCGACGCCCGAAACTCTGTGACGGAGGCAGGGAGTCTGGTGTTCCGGGCGAGAGCAATAAATTTCCATGCCCACTGTCATTGGCGAGTGTGTGGAGCGTGTTTACTTTGTATGACGTCCTGGGAACGACCAGCAATCCCGCCCAGGAGCCACCCACTCGGTAGCTCAGTGTCATATTTCTGGGCGACAGATCTTACGGAGGGCATTTCCACTTCACGGCAGTAGTATATTGCTCTATGCAACAAAATAGCAATGTCCTGCAGGAGGATCGAAAAGTTCAAGGCAAGGACACAAAGTTTAAATGGTTCCCAGGTGTGAAATTGGTTTAAAAATGATTGTAAGCCTTAAACAATATTTCTTCTTAATTAAAAATAAATAAAAGTATGGGTAAAGTAAAATTGCAGTTCTCACATGTAAATTATATTTTCATTGGAATTATAATTCTGTATTTTTTAAATTTGTAATAAAGTGTATTTTCTTTTCGCTACGCTGTCAAATCCTTTTTAATGCATACATAAATTCGCTGTTATTTTCTGTCGTTTTTTTTGTGTTATTTAACGAGCATTTTCTGTCCGTAACATTTTTTGCGACTTTTGTAGCGCTTTACAGTCGTATGAATATTAAATTAAATTTTTTTCCCCAACCGACCATCGAGATTGAGAGACTTCTCTGGGCCAGCGAAAGGTGAAGGTGAGGCGGGGAATTGGAATTGGTATTGCGATTGCTACGGCGAATGCGAATGCGAGTGCAAATGCGTATCCTCTGCCTTAACTTTGCCTGATAATGGCAAAAGGGCACAAAGGAGCTGCCACATGTGCAATTCATCAGAGGCGGCTATCCCCTTTAATCAAATGCAAAGTTGACCAGAAACGGCGGGGCAGGGGACTCCATTTGACGACGGCCGACGTCTGCAGCCTCAAGATGGCAAATTGTGCCGCTCCGGCCTTCTATTTCCCCAGATTCACAGATTTCCCAGCAATGCCGGCCAAATGCAAAGCAGTTGGAGCCCCCGGCTGCTGGTCGGTCTCGGATTCTGGTCTCTGGTCCCCGACTGCTGCTGACTGTGTCTGATACGGCTCACTTCTGTCATTTATCTTCTTTTACGGCTCAAAGGGGCGTGGCTCTCGACCATTCAATTCCAGAGGTGCAAGCCAGCTGCTGAGCAACGCATTCAGACCAAAGCGGAGCGAAGCACACACGCATGAGTGCTGAAAACTGCAGGTTATCACAGCGAGAAATTATAACAAAGTATTAATTATAAATTAATTTAAGCATACATAATAAATTAGTTGGGTGGCTTTGAATTGGAATTAACGTTTTATAGGATCAAAACAATTTAGATAAGTCACAACACCAATTGTTTTTTTCCAGTGTATTGCTTAACTTGCCCACCAACACACCCAAAAGTCTGCACATGCCCGTGCATATTTGAGATATTGTGTTTGAACTTTGGCTTTGGTTTTCTACTCACTTCGCCTGCTGGCGAACTGGCAACTGCAATTGTTGTTGCTGTCGGCTTGACAAACGCACAGTCGCCAGGATTTACTGACACCCACATCCACTCACACCAACACACTCACACTAACACTCACCGCCGAGAGCCCAGGACCCTCGGTGATTGAAAAATTTGCACAAATTTTTAGCTGTGCTGCCATTTTAACACTTTATCCGGGGCCAAGTCAAGTGAGTCTGAATCCCCACCGCCTGCCTGCCATCGCCAGGAATCGTAATAAACTTGACACTTCACCGGGCACGCCCCCCCCGCCCCCTTCCCCAGCAATTCCGACCCGGCCAATACCATGTGCTTGTAAAATTTATGCTCTCTTAAGGAATTCATTCAAAACCTGACAACAAATTGCACTTTGTCGGAACAACAAAAATCCATCGGCACGGATATTCGATTTGAGTCCTACATGACGCAATTAAATCGCTAGCCAGCCAACAGATTTATAATTCGATTTTTTCCCCAGCCACCACGTTCGATGACATGAGCACGAAATTTTGAATCTATTTTTTGAACAATTAAATGGCGAATTCGTGTTATGCAAATCACCAGGGAACGTGCCTAAAATTGCAATTAGAGCAATTGCACTCCGGAATGGCGCATAAAATATCAGTAAACAGAGCTTTGGATAACAGAAATCCCGTCTGGATGGCTGCCAAATGGATATTTGTCGCCGGGATAATCGAAAGGCGGCAATTAATGGCCACCAGTTTGGGTTTCCTGCTCCCGTTCGGCGTGTGTGTGCCGCCATGATAAGGCCACCCAGGACACTAATCCTGCCATGGAAAATGGACGACCATTGTGGCAGGTGGGTAAACTGGTCTGGGCAACCGGATACACAACTAAATTCCAAAGGCATTCTTGTTGAAATAGCAAATTGCTAGTTCAATAAATCAGTTTGCACTCTGGCGACGTGTTTTGATTCCGCTTCTTTAATTAGCCGGTTTGAAAATCTATGCCATTATACCATTAAAAATTATGTAATTCAATGCCTTAGTGTCCATTTAGTTTAATTGAAAATGAATTTTTTTTACCACATGCGGCTTATTTATTTTTATTGCTGATTGTCATTGCAAAAGCCAAAGAGCTTAATGCGCCCATAGGTTCGATGTCACTTCTTTATTGGTTTGCATTCTTTTTTATTCACAATAATCGTAATTGATATTATTAACAACTTTCGATCAAAAACAATTATGGAAAGCCATTGAAACGGATAATAATATTAATTTGGAATCGGTTTCTGTTTAAATAAATGTAATTTAATTCGACAATCAAAGCCGCAAATGCGCAAATTGCGACTCGCTTTTTTGTGCCAACTTTTTTCCACCACGGATCAATGCCAATACCTGTGGCTGTGGGCGGAAGCTAATACGGCAAATTAATTACAAATAATTCGCCCACAGGCTGCCAGCCAGCCAACCAACCCCACATCATTTTGTTTGTTGCTGCGGCCTGATTTTTAATTTATGCGCACCGCAGTTGATTCTCACATAAAATCCGATTCGCAGCCTCGCCAATCCACCGCAACTTAAAAGCTTAAAACGCCGAGCCAGCAATGACTGCTTGGGTCCTGCGCTCCCGCCTTTTGGTCCTGCCGACATCCTGTGGCTCGGTGCCAAATCCCCGACCAAGGCTTATAAATTTTAATTAAAATGCTCCGCCAGATGGGAGATGGGAGAAGGGAGTGGGCACTGCGTGTCCCCGCCGCGCTTATTTCCGCTTACATTACAATTACATTTGCCTCTGGGCCAAGTCGCATCCGCGTTGCCAGGGTCATCCTGGCATCCTCTGGCCCGTTTCGTTCCGGCCACAATCCTCTGGCCGTGGCTATTGATATGGCCAGGTGCTAAGCCCGAGGTCGCTGCACAAATCCGCAGTTTGATGCCAGCCATCGCGGGCAGGATTTCAAGGCCTCGCCAATCAAAATCAATTCGATTTGCTGAATCTGATTGATTTTCAGTGACCATTTACAATGACGAGGGCGTTAGAGTTACTTTTCTCACTTTAATGTTATATACTGCAACTAAAATAGTAATTATATTACCCACTATTAATTTGCTAAAAAAAATATTGCCTTTCTTAATAGAAAGTTGTAATGTTCTTCAGCTCGAATCGCCGGGCAATGAAGAGAGCTCCTCTGGTCCGACCAAAAGTTCACTTTCTACTCTTGGAATTTCCCTCAATTATTACTGCCAAAAATGTTTGCCCACTCGACAGCTGCTGCCCAGATTGAGTTTTTGGGTTTTCCGGGCGGAGAAAACATTTCGAGGCGAGCGGAGAAGGCTTCGCTGCACTAATGACGCAAATCGGCCTAAATAACAAGTTGCTGGCATTTGGTCAACAAGTGGAGGCTGGAGCTGATGGCGGGCTGCGTTGCCAACTCAGCAGACTGTTTTTTCTTCAATTCCCATCATGGAAGCCGGATGGCAACCACCCACAGCCCACAGCCCACCACCCACGCCCCTAATGAGACGCAATGAAGAGGAGCAACGGTATCTGGGACTCGGTCGCGAAATGGAAATTAAAATGCATCCCAGCTGCGCCAGTGGGCGTTCTAATGGGCGTGGCAGGCGGTCCAACACTTGATTTAATCAACTTGATCCGGGGCGAATTCAAATCGTTGGCTTTAAGTTTAAGGCCAGTCTCTTGGAGATCAAGTTTGTGGAATATTTTTAGGAAATTTTAATGAATTTAATTATCTTTAATACTATTCAGTGCCTAAATCGTATTTAGTTTGGTTGTTTATCACTTTAAAAGTCAGTTCACTGTGACTCTAACGTCATGTCCGGTGGCGAAAATTATTAATTAATTCCCAGACTTCAGAAAAATGTCGATAAGATTGAACGACGAGGCCATGCGACAATTCCGGGTGGCCAAGGTTTTCCAGGAGACGGAGGAGCAGAAGCTCTCGCTGGACTTCTCCCGCGACGGATTCCTTCTGATGGCCTGCGACCACTCCGCCCTCTCGATCTTCAGCAGCACTCGACAGGAGGTGCTCTGCCAGGTGCACATGCACCACTACCTGCCCGAGGTGGCCTGCTTCACCCGGCAGGACACTCGCGTCCTGCACTCCGCCTCAAAGGTAAGAGCCTTTGAAGAAGCGCTCAGGCTTGGGCCACTCAAAGGCAAAGGCACAAGAATAACAAGGTCTGGTGCAAAGGGTTGAAAAAGGGAACGGGTATTCTTTCATTTTCTTTTTCTTTTTAAAGAATTCCAAAAATAAATGGAGAGCTTTCAGAACTTATTAAATTTTCAGTAAGAGCGCTTTTGGACACAAGACTAAAGTAAACAAATAACAAAATTTGAAAACATACATTCCATACCTTTAATTTAATATTTACATATCATAGTTTAATTTATTTTATTTAAATTCCTTTGACAGTACGACTACAACATACGTTGCCTGGACCTCGAAACACGCAGTTGCCTCCGAGTTTTCGGTGGTCACCAGAAAAGTGTCCACAGTTTGGTTTGCCTCCCGGGAAAGGAGAACGTGTTCCTTAGTGTCGGACGGGATGACGAGGTCTACATGTGGGATATCCGCTGCTCGAAGCACATGCATCACCTGAAGCACCGGCGGAATCCTCTGTGCGCCTTTGATCCTGACGGATTGGTCCTGGCCACCAGTACGGATACGGAATGCATCGAGATCTTCGACGTGAGGAAGCTGGGCGATCGGCCGTGCTCGAAGTTCGCCTACCAGGTGAACGACAATGCCAAGTGGACCCAGCTGCAGTTCGCTCCGGATGGAAAGACCCTGCTCCTCGGCACGGATCACTCCTGGTGCTTCAGTGTCTCCGCTTTCGACGGGACGTTCCAGCAGTCCTTCACAGGATACGAGAACCGGTCGAGGCTGCCACTGGAGGCCACCTTCACTCCGGACTCGCAGTTCGTGCTTTCGGGAGCGGACGAGGGCAGGATTCACGTTTGGCGAGCCAGCGATGGGTATCCTGTGGCCGTCCTAGAAGGGAACAATGTGGGTCCTGTGCGATGTCTGCGCTTCAATCCGCGAGCCACCATGTTCGTGAGCAGCGATCTGCTGATCGCCTTCTGGATGCCCATGGCGAATGGGGTCTACGATTGGGTGGAGCGACTGGAGCCGGGCGAAACGGTCTCTTTCAAGGAGGAAGAGGAGCGGGTAGTACCTGTCGTCAAGTCCATAGAAGTTCCCAAGGCCATTTCCATGCCCAAGCCCTTTGTGGATGTGGAGCTGGTGAGGAGGAGATTGAACAGGAAAAGAATTCGCTCCGAAGTTTTCAAAGTAGATTCTACCAAAAGAGAAGATCAAGAGAAGGACTCCCTTGAAGAGGGGGAAATACCCGATGACTAAGACTTGTAGGGATCTTTCTTGAGAATAAATGTAAGAATATCAATCAACTGGCTCTCGGCCAAAAGTTGGCAGACCAACTCCCAGCTGGAGACCGAGCAAACTTCCTGGACAGTCCTTATGCTTTTGAGACACAAATTGTTGAGTTTTGCCAGCAAATTGCACAGCTGGCTGCGTTCGACTCCAAAAACGAGGTGGTTGGCAAACTTTTGGCCAACTCTTGGCTGGCTGGATGTGTGTGTGTGCTTTTGAGCACTGACAAGCGTTTCATTTAGTTTCTGTGGCCATAAAAAGAATTCCCTCTTTTAATATTAATGAAATCTTTTACCGAAAAGCCCCCAAAAAGAACACACAAATTGCTGTTGAACTTTCTGGAGCTGTAACTTCAATTGAATATGTGGGATGGTGCTTTTGGTATAAAACTTTTCTGAGTTATGAAGTTTCGAGTGCGTCTCATGCAACTGCACAAAATCTACACAGAGGTTAGTCCCCTTAAAAAGTTAAATATCTAATAGCCTTTTACTTAATCATACTTTTAATGAGGCTAACAGTATCTACAAGTTTTTCGGAATGAATTTAAAGTTTGAGTTTCAATATCCGTATAGAAAATGTATTATTGGTGAGTGGTATTTTTTAATTTCCTTGAAAGAAAAGATAAATAAATCTGAGAATAAAAGCATCTTGTTAGTTGCAAAGCCTTTTCTTATTTAAAATGTCATTACGGCTTAAGGCAACATTTACCTGCCGAGACTTCAATGTTTGATCAACGCTGCGCCGTAAGTGTGCAACTGCCAGACACTCAAAGAGTCAACAAACTAACTAAATACTCTCCGGCTGAAGGAGTTTTTGGGGTGTTGCAGCAGGACGAACTGGAACAATAACAACGGCTGCCGAGAACCTCTCATTATGCTAATTAAGTACAAAAGTTGCGAGCTGAAACTGAAACTGAAACTAGGCAAACATAAATTAACGCATGCGACAAATGTGCGGGCGAAGGATTAAGTTGGAGCCTGGCAACCGAGGAGGAGAGGAAGTGGGAAGCTCCGGAAACGGAAGTCTGCGTGTCGCCATTTTGATTTGCATGGACATCGCCATTAGCGAGCGCCGAGAAAGTCCCTAACGAGCATCCTTTGAAGCGCGTAAATGGCATTCTCATCTCGCCAAAGCGGCCAAAGGAGAAATTAATTAAAAAGGTGGGCACGAATGTAAAAAGAAACGAGCCGGGCGCGTGACTGAATTGTAAAACAAATCCCAAATGGCCCTGACACATAGTCGCGTCCCCATAGCTATCCCGTCCTCCAGATTCTCGCTTCTATATCCACGCACCGCAAATTCCTTTCCCACGCCCGATTTGTCCAATGGCGCCAGAATATTTAATGCCCTCGGTAATAAAAGCGGATTTCGTTGGCCCCAAACACTAATCTTGTTTTGGGGCAATCGAATTGGAAAAGCGACATTCAGAGATGAGCGACTAAAGGAAAATATCTATCTGCGTTTTACTCATAAGAATTAAAAAAAAACTATAATACTTTATTATTCCATTTGAAGCGAATTGTCAGTAGTTTATAGTATCAGTAATTCGAAACTGAAAAAGTTAGTAATACTTCGTTTTACTCCTTATCCTTGCTCATCTCTGGCTCTTGTTGATCCGGGATTGGCCTACTATTTCGGTCCTTTTTATTAACTATAAAAGCGGAGAAAACTTTTGGCCAGCTAAAATTATTAAGGAATTTTATGTACTCCAGAGGCAATTGGTTGCATGCATCGGGCTGAAGGAAACAACAAGTTTGCTGTACAAGGCACATGATTTAAAGCCAGACTTCTTGTTATTATAAGAATCAATTTGACCCCAATACCTCGGCTCGTTCAATGGGTGACTACACGTTGGGACCTGGGGCAAACTTTTAAATTACTCAACGGGCACTTTCAATAATGGCGAGGTCCTACTAGCCTGCTCAGTCGGAGGAAAAACTTTGGCCAACTGCCGCTCGAAATTCACTCCTTCGGTCGACATTGACTTGCCCGCCTTTCCTCCGCCATTTCCCTGTTTCCCTTCCGCGCTTTCCACAAAAGTTGTGTTAAAGTTTTTTTTTTGTTCGAGCCAGGATGTCTATTTCCGCCGCTGGCGTAAAAATAACAATCGACTTGCAGTTTGAATACGTCAGAGCGACGGAGGGCTAAACTTGGCCCTCCAGTTTTCTTCTTTCCTGCCTCTCTTCCTTTTTTTTTTTTTTGTTATTCCTATAAGTCGGCGGGATTAAGTGGATTTTAAAGTGGCAGCAGCAAAAGTGGCCACGGGCTATGGATTAGGCCGAATGTCCCAGGCGAATCAAATACATGCACGTTGTTTCCCCTCGAAAGCATTTGACTTGCCACATGAATAGCACGTGGTAATGGTTGTAGACTCATAAACTAAAGTATCCTGTCTAAGAAATACCATCTCTCAGGAATTTTCATGATTTATTAAAAAAAAAAAAGGTCTGGAGCAGAAAGTGCTAACAAATGATTATAAGAAACCTATATTCTTTTCCTAAAAGATAAATTTATATTACTTGTCCGACCTTTCTATATTATATATATAAAAAATGTATGTACTTCTTATTTGACATTATTTACAAGCTACATAGCCATTGCAAATTTACAAAAGACTGTCCCCATAGGCATACTAAATACACTATTCCTTCCATGATTTGTTTCCTTTTCCTGCAACTCAGTTTGTCTTGCCAATCAATCCTAAGATATATTTACATAAACTGTGAGCATCGTAACTCCCATTTGGCTGCCTGAGGCGATGGCAAAGAGAACCGAAGTCGGTCAATACGCATCAGGGTTTGATTCCTTCTGAAACTATAACACTGCCCCCATTTGGGGCACACAAGTAAGGGTACTGCAACAGTTTTTGAGATGGCTGTGGGCTCAATTTGCCTCAAATTAACCGACCATTCTGTCCACCCTTTTCGGAGCTCCGATCCATTTGAATGCGAGTGTGTGTCCGATTGCGGGGACAATTGCGACGATTTGGCAATTGTCCATTCTGGGCTGTCGGTGGCCCTCCGTCGCTGTCAGCCAGTTGTCAGTCACTCAATCAGGCATTCAATCAAGCAATTTTCATACAAACACTCGGCCGAAGTTGCGGACCCGGACCCTAAACTTTGATTTGCAATTTTGACACGCCGCTTAAATTGGAATTTTTGCTTTCAGCTTTGTAAATTGGCCATTCGAGGTCCTGGTAACGCTGACTCGTCAAATGGACAGCGATGTGGTTAAAGGGAACCAGTTAAAAGGAGGTTGAACTTTGGAAACTTAAACAGATTGAAGGGCTAGAATTTAATGGGGTAAAAACAGGTTTGCAACCTTTAAATACTATTTCTATTTGATTTATACTTGCAACTATTTTTTACTTGATTTAATTACTTTTTCAATTTATTCCTCGTTACGAACCAGCCCTTTACTTTATTCACTTATAGCCCCCAACTGGTTCCTGAACTGTTTCGACCAACTCCAATGCCAAAAGGCATTTGTGCTCTGTTGATTCGCTTTTAAGTGACGCTTTTGGCCTTTAGCAGCCAAACTCGCGGGTACCAAAGTTCGTTGTTTTTTTTCCGTTCACTACTGCATCATGGTAGTGGAAAAGAGAATGGGGAAGTAGAGGGTCCTGTGCAGCTCAAAGGATTTTGCAGGACTAGAAAGTACACAGAAAATAATAGATGTTCTGTATAGAATAATCATAGGGTTTCATAATAAAATATGTTATGTGCTTTATTCTTTGACACAAAATCCGTTTTAAATGCATTAAATTATACGAATTAGTTTCAATTTCTTTTGCAAGAATTTCCACTACCAACTCTCAATTTTGGCCATATTTTTGTGTAAGAACCTGGCCCGAAGCGTTGGCGGCTCGGAGAACATCGGTATCGCCGTCGCCATCGCAGTTGCAATCAGCTTAACAGTAACTAGAAAATAAATTGCATTCGATTTTGTTGTTTCTGCCGCTCCGCTGTTTTCCTCGCTGCCCCCGCTTTTTGTGGTCTGGCCTTATCTGCCGGCTTTGGCCAGTTTTGGCCGGGACTGGGCTTTGGCCAAATGCGTGATCGGCCGGCGCGGAAAACAGACGCAAACAAAGCCCGCCGGAGAGGAGACGCGCCAGCGAAACTGCCAGCTAAGTGAAAAATGCGCTTTGGGTAACAAAACACAACACGGCCGGCGGAAAAAAGAAGGAAATGCGGAAAAGCGAAGGGATTTCTGCCTTTGTTTTCTTTTCGCAGGCTTTTAATGCGATTTTTCCCTCGCCGGGCGGCGGTTGTCCGTGATGCAGTGATTTTTCCCCGGCTTCGGTGGGTAACAAATGCTGCCGCATTAAATAATGCCAGAAAGTATTTTTTAATTGAATTCTGCTCCCGCTCCTTGCTGCGGTTTTTGCTCTGCATTTGGTGTATTTATCACAGCGGACAGCTATTGATATTGACGATGTTCTGGGCATTTCGCTGTGGGCCCCCACAATTATGGCCATTAATTATTTAGATCGCAGTGGTGGCAATACAGGAATCGTTTACCGAAATAATAATGTTGTTTTAATTTAAAGAACAAAAGGTCATAACAGAAACTTTAAAAGGTTTTAAAAAGCATACAAATGTATTGTCTGCCCAACCTGACATTCTATTGATGTTTATTTTATTTTTAGCAGTCGTGATCCTGATTTTTTGGCCTAAAAAACAAATATTGTGGACAACACAATTAAAAAATTGTATCCAACCATGGAATGTCATAGCTTTATGAGCAACAAGGAATCTTTTTTGGGTTGGCTATTCTTTGAAGTTTTTTTGAACCAGCTATTAAAAGCAGACACCGTCAGTGCCGCGAAAAAAATCAAATTTTATTACCTAAGCGACAATTATTGTGACCGCAGAAATCAAAACGAGTAACAGGCGACCAGCAAAGTATTCGGTCTGTTTTGCATAAATAAATTCAAAGCTACCAGCGACGGCCACAGAAGCATCATGATTTATGTGCCACAGGCAGTCCACCGCCCACTTTCAGTTTGTAACAGCGACAACGCTGCGTATGAGTTATTTTAATTAC